TAGATACTTCATACCCCTTTATTTATTATTTCCATGACCATTTGTAATGTCTGATTGTTTTGATTTATTCTGTGAAATCTTTTTTATCAAAGACTTGTCACATTTATTCATTATAATATCATTCTGAACTGTACACAATTATACCCATTACTGTTGAGAATTAACATACTCTTATTCTAATTTCTAAATTTTGTTATAGCGGTGGAAGCCAGGATGTTGTGAGAGGATATGACTTTCTTGTTAATGCGGTCTGGCCTGAAATAGTGAGCTGCATTGAAGCAAGGACGCCCTCTATCTTTGCACCAGGAAACCCTGATGTTTTTCACCAGGTAATGATTGAAATGCAAAAATTGCATTTAGTTGTCTGCAGAATCGTTAATGTATGCCTTATTTTAAACATTGACATACCTGTATCTTTTATATAAAGGATAATAACAAATAGAGGAATAATAAAATCATATAAAACGTTTATCTATTGAAATTGACCTATAAAATCTAATATATTTTTTTTAGAAATACATGTTGAGTATGGATTTTCTCTGTGCATTTGAAAGACACTGTGGATCTCAGGCCAGTGTGAAAAGACTTAGAGCCCATTCTAGCTACAACACCTATATGAGTAAATGGAGTCTTCCAGTTTATTTCCAAATAAGGCAAGTACTCTTGTGTATATATATATATATATATATATATATATATATATGGGTTATACGTGGTAATGGTATTGGAGGAAATAATATTGTAACTGTGTTTTTTTTCTTTTTCAGGTTTCAGGAAATTGCTGGTGCATTTGAGTCTTCTTTGATGACCCCATTCAATGTTGTGCAAGGTAAGAAAAACAATTTGTGGCTGGAATTAAGAAAGAGTACATCCTAAATTTTAGGGGATTGAGTTGAACAGTAATCAAATCAATAATCAGTAATCAAAAGATATTATCAAATTCATACGATTAATTTATATATCTTTATATGATAAAAAATGACAAAGGCTCACAAATTTGACTCTCATTTACAGTGATTTGTTTTCTTTTATTAATGTATACGTGAATGACTTGTTGTTCAGTAGGCTATGACATACTGTCGACCACTTAATTTTTACTGCTTGGATTTTTTCTGCAAGTTGATGATTTTACGACATTAATGAAGTTAAAATTTTGCGAAAGTCGCTGACATGTTGTGTCATAGGACAAGAGAAAAATTTCCACAGCTACACAATTTTATGATATTCACCGACTTGGGGAAATTCTCGAAAATTTGTCTCTCACAAAATTAAAGCGATTAACTGTCAAAAAACGACTATAAAGACCCTAATCGTAATAGTAGTTAACAGCCTGTTTTGGGGTTGAGGTTCTATTAACCGTCAAAGGTTCATAGGGCTAAGGATGTTCATGAGAACCAAGAGTAATACTGTGGATTTGGCAAGTTTAAGGTGATTTTCTCTGCAGCGTCATCACATGGTTTGTGTTGTTGCAAAGTAATTTGTGTTATGAACTTCTTTTGTTTAAAATGCAATGGGCCACTGACCTGTAGCAATCACATCTGATTTATGTGTGTATGATGTACATATTTAACCACAAATCAACTACTGTTTATAGTACGTATCTCATTCAGTAGATTACCTATGCATCCACACAGCCTGTCAGTGTGGAATCCATTGTGTTGCTGCTCAAAAAAATTGTCACCTGTATTGTAGTATTTTGTAAATCCTGATCCTTTCTGTGTTTTACTTGCATAGAGGACTGTGAGTTCAATTTAGCAGTATGTTCTACACTATGGCAATCTCTGAAAAGCTGCTGGTCAGATCAAGTCTACATCTCAGCACTATGTCATCGATTCTGGAAATTAACATTACAGTTACTCTCAAGATGTTCAATATGGCTGCAGGAAATATGTGAAAAAGAGGTTAGATACCTTAAGACAACCAATCCTTCATTGGTGCTTATAGCTTTGTCTTTAGTAATTCTACAAAACAGAATTTTTTTTACGTACAGTGTACTACTGTTTGGGACATCTGCAATCTGTATTCTGTTAAAACTTCTGAACTTTAAAAATTATTTGAGCCTATACTAGTGCATCCAATTTATGAATTAAATGG